TGATTTAAATGTCACACCTGAACGCTCACATCCTTTTAATTATGTTTGAAATTATGAACATTGCCCAACATCATGAAAATTAAACCTTATTTTCAATAAGCAATCCTGAAAAATATTTGGGGGTGCTTAACTTTTTTCCAGGTGTATAGTTGAAAACTCTTACAAAATTGCTATTTTTTTAAGATTTGAGACATGAATATGTATATATAATACAATTCCAGTTAAGATCAAAACATTAGTGACAACAACAGAATAGCATCTTCTATATTCATTTACTAAAGTTTACATTATTTTGTATATAGTGATAATTTCAAAGTTTAAAGCACTTACATAAAAAAGACTAAACATACCAACTATAACTGTTGCAGCTGAATGACGAGGAAATGACATACACATCTTTAGTTCCCAATCTTGGCTGTTGACATCAAAAATATCAATGGCAGATGTACTAACAAGATAGTTCTTTTCATCACTAGAAGCTGCAGCACCATTACATAACCAGAGCTCTTTCTTTGCAACTACTGCAGAACAAAAAGCCCGGGGAAAACGAAGAGGTTTACATTGGTACCACCTAAACATGTGTTGTAAAATTTGATGTAATTTGTAAAAGGTACAGAAAAAGTATTTATTAATATGAAGACATATTATAAAAAAACATTTTGCTTTATATTTATTTACTTAACAAAAGTGGTAGTCAATTGGTGACTTTTATGTCCCAGGTAATTTCTATATTATGCACCCATTAAATCATCACTTAAGAAATATATCTGTGATTAGGCAAATTCTGTCGCAAAGGGAAAGAGAGCTGAATTGATCTGAGGGTGAGATCAGAGAGTTCACCAGCACTTTGGGAATTGTTCCAGAGCTTTATGCTCTTCTCACTCACCAAGACAAGCAAGCTGCAACCTGGTCCATCCATAACCACTGATAATGTTAGTTGTTTTCTTTCAGTTTAGTAAAACTAACATCCAAAATGAGGAACCAATTGTGGTTATGCCGAGACTTCCTAGGACAATCTGTACAGTTAATCATGTTGATCTGCTTCCGGTACTCCTGAAGCCCTTACTGAATATACCACATAGTAAAAAAGAAAGAGAGAAACAAGCAGTGATGGGTGAACATGCTCTTCTCACCAAGACAAGCAAGCTGTAACCTGGTCCATCCATGACCACTGATAATGTTAGTTGTTTTCTTTCAGTTTAGTAAAACTAACATCCAAAATGAGGAACCAATTGTGGTAATGCCAAGACTTCCTAGGACAATCTGTACAGTTAATCATGTTGATCTGCTTCCGGTACTCCTGAAGCCCTTACTGAATAGACCACATAGTAAAAAAAGAGAGAGAGAAACAAGCAGTAATGGGTGACCATTGTCTTCCAGCCCAACCATACTGGCCTGCTGGGACATAGTTGCTATTAATAATAATAATAACTCACACTTGCCTCTATTTTCCTAGTTTTACAAATCATAATTTTTTAAGTTGGGTGGCCAATGCATTAATCTGGTACCGACTAGCATGAAGTAATGAGGTGAACCAAATTTAGCCTCTATCCTACAGGAGTTCAGCAAAGGATGATTTAGATTCCCCTTCCTTAAATAGTTTTATCAGGTAGTTGCTTAGAAATCTTGCACTCAGGATCAAATAACACAGCATCTGTTGTTTATTTTAAGTGGTTTGGTATTAGATGCTAATGAGCAGCTAGAAACTAACCAGCTCTACAGTTGGAAAGCCATTGTTGTGTAGTTGCATCAGCATTTTGACCTGGAAGAAGAGTAAGCTATCTACCAGATGCAATAAAATAATTATAAGTGTGGATGCCCATGAAAATTAAGTTGCATTCATAAATAAGTCATGATATGTGCAACAGTGATAGACTGAATCTATTGCTTCAGCTGCGCCAATGATGCAAATAAAGAAATATCCTGAGTCATGGGAGGGGACAGGGAAGAAGATATGAGCTACAAATGTAAACAGTTTAGTCAGGTGTCCTCTCCCTGTGTCTGCACAGGAGCCCACTCACTTTTCTGGTATGATAAACCTATTCAAACCTTTGAACACTGCACCTATTGTCCTCTCCCTGCATTATCTCTTATCTTCTCCAAAGGAGAAGATAAAAATAGATTACTTTCTCTGTCTTGTGTGCAGCTTTCCTCTTCACCTTCTATCTTCTGTAATCAGTTCATATACTTCTCTCCTGCATATATGGTTTGACCAGTTCAGTACATGTGCTGCTCTGAAGACATCTATCACAAAGGCACCTATGTTAGTTGATGCGCTTATCTATATATTTTTTTCTAGTGTGCAATCTCATTATCATAGGCTAGGCCAGAAATTTTCTTGATACAGTTGTTTTCAATTATTACCAGTTTTCTCTCTCTCATATTCTTGCCATACTCTGTTTTTGTTGCATATGTTAATACAGGAAGTACCTTTTTTTTTATAAATTATTACTTTTATTCTAATAGACAGTGATATGCTATCAAAAAAAGATTGCCACCTGCAGAAAAAGCCTTGGTTACTGACCATATCCTAATTTACACTTCATTCCTTGCTGTAACTAATAACACGAAATAAGTAAAACACTGTACTGTTGTGAACACCTTTAAAAAGCTAATGAAGCATCATTACAATCAATTTTGCTTGTCATAAGATATTATTATTAGGCCTATTATATTTTTAATGCTACATTATTTTAAGTATAGTAGTACTTAATGGTAGGGATTGACAAAAATTCCAAATAATTCAATTGTCGAAAAACCACCCTATCAAATTCCTAAGTGAAAAACCAACCATTCAAAGTATTGGTTGTGATATATTATGTGCATATATACTAATAATATGTTAAAAAGGTCGCTAACATTTCCAGTATAACAATTAAAAAATTTCTAAAACAGCAACTTTTTTCGTCTACTACCTATGTACCTGATCATGTCAGCGAGACTAGCACCTAAACCTCATCGAATTCCCAAGCAAAAAATCGACCATTCAAAGTATTTGTTACGATATATTATGTGCATATATACTAATAATATGTTAAAAAGGTGCTAAAATTTCTAAAACAGCAACTTTTTCGTCTACTACCTACCTACCTGATCACGTTAGCAGGGCTACCACCAAGACAGCTCAGACTATCAGTACAAGATTTCTCCAGCTTACTTTACTGGTAAACATATTGTTACGTCTCCGTTTGTTAATTGATTTTCCGTAACTTCATTCCGACGAAACTTTAGCGACACAAGTCCTTACTTAATAAAACTGGTTTATTCTTTCCGAATATAACTTTATGATACACTTAATTTCAACAATCGCGCTAAAACAAACGCAATAACAACGAACGAGCTCAACTTCAAT